CTTGTTGGAGTGTTCAATAAAGTTTTTTCTTGTACAAGTTCCATTTTTTAAAAAAATCGCAAAATATTTGCATTATAAACAAGTTTCATTTCGGTATTTTTAAAATTGAAAATAAGTAAATAAATAGTATTTAAGATATTTAAGACCCACCCAAATATGGAAGTCCTTTAATATTTATTCGGTACTTCCATATCCGTTAAAGTTCATAAAATATTTTATCTACCGATCATTTTTTGACCCCAGAAGTAGGGATTGGAATCGATCCTACCAAAATCGAATTAATCGTATCGATAATTCGAATCCCCCAAAATGTTTGATGACGCAGTAAATACGGCTAATATGATCTTTTAACATTGGAGTTTATCGTCATCGTTTATGTTGTTTATTTATTTTATAATTATTATATAATGTCGTTTCAAAATTATAAATTAAGATCCAAAATAAACAGTAACAACACCTGTCACGCTTTCTCCTTGATTTAACCTCATTAGTTAAATCATGATTGGTATCTATTAACCCTCTCCCTTTGAGGAGGTATCGGATAAAACATTACTATTTAGCATGTGACACATTATTTAAGATCACATGATCATACTGAGTAGATCTAATTATGTGCTAAATTGTCAACATTACGTGATTTAGTTTCTTACACCTTACTGTATGTTGATTCATTAAAAGTTATCATATTGTCCTTCGTTCCATTAGTCAAACTTCTTTTAATTAAGAAAATGAATGGTATTGGTATACGATAATCTTCGATACCCTGCGAGCTCGGTGGATATTCATCTAGCGACCAACTTGTATTCGATCCAAAATAAGAAATTTTTTTTTTTGTATAGAATTGACTGAATTGACTCGGGGAAATTTGTTAATTGGATTGTTGAATTCGTACCACTTAATGAACATCTTGGTATAAAAACGCGTTTTCATCAAAATTCAAAGCCCGGTACCTTTCGTTTTATATATATATATATATATATAATAACATACAAAATAATAAAAAAAATATGATAAATATGATAAATGAATTCTGATCTAAGTCCTTTCCTTCTTGCCTTTTCACTTTTTAATTAGTTCTTTATGACTATTAAGATAAGAATCCCTTATCTTTAATGTATATCCGCTTGGATGTCAGCCAAACGGTCTACAAAAAAAAAAAATCTGCTTGACCGCGGCCATTCCAATTACCCGACAGTTGATAAAATAAGGTTTTTATCAGTATCAGTTTCCTTTACCTTTCTTTTTTTTTTTTTTTTCGTAGACTCTTAAGTAACGATCAATCAAATAACATTTCTGATGTGTTGAGGGGGAAAAAACCGTGCGTATCGCCTATTATTTATGGTTCACATGACACATGTTATACAGGGAAAAAAAACGCGTTCAAAAGTTACAAAAATGAGCACGAGTATAAATTTAGTTAGTGATTTTGCGTTTCCTGTGAAAATCTTATACTAACCAGACATCTATACGCGTTTTGTTTGCAAACGACGCGTTTTTTCATATTCAAACGCGTAAATTTAAACAACTTCTTTAGGGTACACCCCCATTTGCGATTTAAATTATTTAAACCCTTCACTTCCTTCCCTTTTGGTTGATTTCCTTCCTCAAAACCTTTTTTTTGCCAATACTTTACACATCACTCTCGAAAAAAATTACATGTTGCACTTACCATTTTTTCTCTAACACTCTAACAAATCTTGTGAATAATACCGGCTTATCAAATAACTAAAAAAAAAAAAAAAAAAAAAAAAAAAAAAAAGAGAGAGAAGGAAAAGAAAAAAAAAAATTATGTCTGCAACAAGCAATAACTCAATCTTTTTCTCGTCCCTTGATGACGTTTCTTTACCCCCTCTGAAGGAACTTGGTACACAACAAGCACAGCCAAAGTCCTTCCCTGTCCTTTTGCAACCTGAAGTTCAAAGACTTACTTCCTTCTCACTGTTAGGGACGAAACAAGGCTGTCCAAGAACTTTCTTGATTAAAGAACTTGACTTTAGTCTTGTATCCAATACGGCTCTAAAACCATATAATGAACGTACTTCTATTGTAATTGACCAAACATGGGTTCGTACGCCAACGACATATCAAGAACCATCTTCATATGATGACAGAAATTTATCTGATCAAGACGTGTGGGGAACTCTAATGTTTAATTCATCTCAAGAAACAACACCCGTATCACAACGTTATTCACATGCCGAACTTTCAGCGGAAACTACCCCTCGGTCATTCAATCAACGTCTAAGACAAGAATTATCTAATAAGGAGAATGATTCTGAGAATAAAGAATTTCCATGCACCGAGTGTGATAAGATATATAGGGGAAAGAACGCGCGCTCAATTTTGCGCAGACACCTTAAAGATAAACACAAGATCGAACAACCAAGAGGTACACGCTGGGATAATGACCCAAATCGTCCTAAAACGGACGAAGAACGACGACAGAGAATGTTAGAGTCAAAGCGAAGGTAAATGATTATTTGAAATTATTTAATCTCACTTGAATTTTTACTCACAGAATTTTTTTTTTTTTCCAAAATTATAGATCCGCATTAAAGGCCCGTGAAAGGAAGAACAATCAAAAGGTCTTGCTGCAACATTCTAACAATAACTACAACAACCACAACCAACCAAGATTTTGTCGCGAACCTTATCCTGTTTCAAAAGCAGAACTTTCATTAATTTTGTCCCCACCACACACACCAACTACAACTGACTGTGGTCGAAATTTATGTTCGTCACCAGCCCATTACCACATTAATAAGATACATTAAGATGTTCTTGACGGATATTCTTTTTTTTTTTAAATTTTGTGGCAAAAGGAAAGAAATGAAAAATAAATTCTTTTTCTTTTCTTTCCTTTTTTTTTTTTTTTTTTTTCTTTTTTATTTGCATTAACAATATTATTTGTGTTGACTTACTTTCTCAAATTTTATATTTCCTTTTTTTTTTTCGCTTGGCAATTGTAAAAAAATTTTAAAATTAATATAATAATATAATAAAACGCGTCTGATGCTCTAGTGAAAACTCTATAGGATTCCAAATTCCAATGGCGATTCGTGTAATGAATTTATATTTCATCTAAAGCGCATGAATATTCTAAAAAAAAGAATTTTCATGATGTCACTCGTGTAATTTTGGGTAACTAATTAACCAATTAGAATTATCAAAGCATATCCTTCATTTTGATTATTTATATAACATCTCCCCTTTCTTTGGTAGAAATTTCCCATGCCATCCATTACTATTCATCAAGCTTCAGCTTCTAGGTTTCTATTATAAATTAGATTTTCTCCTTTGATGATCTTTTCAAGGAATCGCATGAACGTTAATAATGAAAAAGAAATTTTGCTTTTAATGGCAACTCTAAAAAACACTTCATCATTAAGAAATTTTTTGAATTTGAACAAATTTTTATTTTTTTTTATTTTGTTGAGAAATAAAAAATAATAATAATAATAATCAAATTTAATCATTCATAAGAAAAAAACTTTCAACACCCATGAATTTATTTCCATTAAATAAAAAAAAAAAAAAGTAGAATCTTGAATAATAAAACTTTTCTATTCTCGTTACCATCTTTTTGCAAGAATTACAATACCAATCCCTTATATTAAGATAAAAATTACCTTTATTACGGTGAATATTTAAAAAACTATAAAAACATTGATTAAGGAAATGTATAATTTTATTTAACGACTCTTTGCAGAAACTTTCTGTTGAGCGCCACGAGCTTGTTGTTTGGAAATTTTAGATCCACGACTAGCAACTTGAGCAAGCTATTTATAATAAAAATCAATCAATCAATCAATCAATAAATATAATATATCAAAAAATTTTTAGAAATTCATTTCGAAATAAGAAAATTTCAAAATCTCTCATCACCTTGGCCTTTTCAGCTTTTCTTTTACTTTGTTCGGCTTTCTTTTTCTCTTTACTTTCACGAGCAGCTTCGGCTCTAGCAGCTTCTCTTACTTCAGGTTTTTGATTACGTTTAGCTTTTATCGCTTCCCATGATGCACCAACAATAGCTCTTTGATGTTTAACTGCACGACGTGTACGTTTTTTCGCAACTTCTTCAGTGATACCTTTTTTATGCATACGACGATAAACTGTGGTCCAACTAATTTTACGTGGATTCTTTCGTTGTAAGAAAAGGGATTCTGATTTTGATCCGACAAATCGGTAGCTCTAATAGTCAAAAAAAATATAAAATCAAAAAAAAAATTTTTTTTTTTTTTTTCAAAGGCTCCTTCTTCTTGTGATTATAAAGATCGATTTCATTCCTTCAAGAATGAAATCCCAAAATATTTATATAATATAAAAATAAAATAAAAAATCTAAATGTCTGCGCATGATAGATTCTTTTTTTTTTTTTTTTTTTTTATATTATATATATATATCCATCATAATCATTTTATTCAATCCGTTACAAAAAAAAACGAATTTAATCAATTAAAAACTTTTGAATCCTAACCCTATTATCTGACCGGACATAAAGTTTGCCCTTTCCCGGGTAGATCTTGTTGCCAGTGAAGGAATCACTTTCGATTCTAAAATAAAAAAATTTTTTTTTTTCAATGAAAACCTCATTTAGTACTATTCTTCTTTATTTTTTTGTTTTTACCAATTCCTCATCATATCGATCAAAGTAACTAAATAAAATTAACTCATTTCATACTTCATGTTGATAGCCGATAATATTGAAGAATTTTTGTAAGTGAAGTTAAATCTTTTAAAAAAAGTGAAATCAAAAAGTGCTATAAAAATGTCAAATCACATGACTATCAATCAAACCCAGCGGAGCATCCTTAACCTAAGGCGGGGGGTTTGGATCCTTACCTAAACCGGGGTGTACGATAAGCTGTATATGACGTATTATTTGTGAAACAATATCGCTAATCAAAAGTTTACTTCGAACAAATAAATTAGAATTATGTGTGCTTAATAAAATATTTTTTTTTTTGTGGTTTTATACAATAAACGTTATATTTGTTAATATGTCTGAAGGCATTTCAGAAAATACCTCAGTTTCTGAACTGAAAATATCAGATACATATATAAACCATGATGATTTTGTATTAAAAGTTCAAGAATACGCGAACTTTTATAATTTTCAAATACGAAAGGAAAAGGTGAAACGCGATAAAAATAATAATATTAGAAACCGAACTATTTTATGTTCGCGATCAGGTGTTCCTGAACAGAAAGAAGAAAAAATCAATTCAAGAAATCATCAGTCTCAAAGGTGTAACTGTCCTTTCCTTATTAGAGCATCGATCAATACACAAACAGGTCTTTGGCATACTTTGGCTGTAAAATTAGATCATAATCATGCAATGGTTATTTCTGAACACAAAAAATTTCTTTATATTGAAAGAGAAATCCCACAAGATATTAGGATTAGAGACATGGATTTACGACAATATTTACAATTATGTATACCGCGTTGCTTTGAAGCAAATGAATTTATAAATACTTTAAAACAATTTAAAAGAGAAATTTATGGATTTGAATATGAGGTGAAAATTGATGAAAGTACTAATGAATTAACTCAAGTGATCTGAATGTCATTGTTTTTGATAACACATATAAGTTAACCGATTCAATATGCCATTTGGGATCTTTACTGGTGTGAATAATTTTGGCCAAAGCATATGCTTTGCTGGTGCCTTAATGTGTCAAGAAACTATTGATTGTTTTGCATGGATATTTAAATCATTTCTTAAGATGATTAATAATCACTTACCAAAAGCAATACTTACTGATACAATTTCTAATGCTATACAAATTACTTTTGACCATAATACTAAACATGTATTATGTATATGGCATTTATGAAAGAATGTGATTAAAAACCTAAATAGTACATTAGGAGAAAATTGAAACAATTTTACAAAAGCTTTTTATAAATGCATAAAAGAATATGATATTGAAAATTTTATAGTTAAATGGGAAGAGTTTAAAATAAATTTTCTGAATGCTAAAGCATACTTAGATAGAATAGATAAAGTCAAGGAAAAATGGATACCTTGTTTTAATAGAGATACATTCTTAGCAGATATGACAAGTACACAACATGAAGAGTCTATAGAAGCCTTTGAATCTGTATTAGAGTAGCATGATACTGATTTGCAATTATATAAACATAGGCAAAGTCAATTTAATGTTATTTTAAAAACAAGAAGTCTACTTGAATATCAAGCAGCAGAAATATTAACAAATTATATGATAAAATTAACACAAAAATAATTATTACAAGCTTCTGATTTATTCTTATACTGAATTATATAATTTGAAAACTGAAACACTTTAATTTTTTCATGTTTATCGATTTAATTATAAATATGAATCAGGAAGGAAGATTCAATATGATCAACAGCAAATAATTATTTTCGTGTTTATGTAAATATACAACTATTTTTGAGATTATTTGTAGGCATATATTTTGTATCACAACTTAATTTAAAAAAATTGCCTGATTTGCTATTTTATCAACGTTGGTAAAAGAATCCAAACAATTTTATTTTAATATAACAATTTAATTTATTTTATAGTAATAATTTGGCAGCAAACCATTTTAATGATTTAGAAATAGAAATTATAAAAGATTATAAATATTTATTGTCAAAAATTTTATTTAAAGTAAAAATTTAGTGAGAAAGTATTCAGAATTATCAAAAGAATTTTATTTTATGAATAATACACTATTGAAGAAAAAATTACAAGTTGTTTATAATTAAACAAATACTATCATATTACGAAATATAATTAATAATTCTAATAAAAAACTAATAATTCATCAAGGAAAAAAGATTTGTTAATGATGTGAAATTTTATATATTATTATATATTGTATTATAATAATTATTAATATTTTTGTTAGGAAAAAGAAAAAAAATGATTCTTTAAAGCCAGAAATTTTAAGTGCAGGTAGCAGTAATTTATCAATATACAAGAAAGAAAATATAGCAAGTTATTAAAAAAATACTTCAAATTATACATTTAATGTATCTATATATAGAGCATTTCAAAATTTATCACAAATTTCTATATTAGAATTAATAGACATGGAAGTAGATAATAACCTGAAAGTACAAGGTATAAATAATTTATTTTTATCAATTTATTAACTTAAATATTAATATTTGCAAATTTTTTAAGTTAGATAACAATTTGTTGTGTATTTATTATAATCAAAATTTACCTAATTCACTTCCAAAAAAAAATTGATAATTATTTAACAATATTATGAAAAAAAAGTATAATTATTTGTTTTACTGTTTACTTTATTTATTGTTTATTATTTTCATTTTTAATAATATTTTATTCTTAGATAAAATAACAGAAGCTGATCAGTCAGAATTTTGTTTTATGCATTATGCTAAAACTCATATAATACCATCAGGTATAAGGGCTGATTATCCATCAAATATTGATTTTGAAGCTATTTCAAGTCATATTGAAAATATTAAAGAAGATTTGTAAAATATTATAAATGGTCAACTTGAAAGTTGATTTTGAAATATAGCATTAAGTGTTAATGATAAAATTGGATCTCATAAGATAACCAAACCAATAGTATTAATGGAAAGAAGTGAAGATTTAAGGGTAATTATTTTTAAAATATTGATTTTATTATATATTGATTTTTATAGTTATTATACTAAATATATATTATCCTTAATAAAACTTGAATATTGTTAATGTGCAATTTTTTCAGATTGCAACTGTTAAATGCAGTGTTAAAAGGTTGACTTTTTTATAGTTTACGTATAATTCTAGTCAGTTTTACGCTAAATCTTAGTTATTTTATTAATAGTTTATCAAGTTGAGTTAAGTTTATTAAATGTAAAGGGTTTTAATCACAAGTAAGAGTTATCACAATAATTCACAAAGAGTTTTGTGTAAAAAGTAAGAAATATTTTATTAAAATAAAAAGGAAATAATAAGATAAAATATATGAAAGAAATAAGAAGATAAAAATAAGAAATAGAGATACACAAAGTAAAGAGTAGTATTATGCTATCTTTTATAAGAGAGAGAGGTTTCTATACAATCATTAATCTGCCTTTTCTAACTTACAAAAGAGCTTGTATTTATATCTATTCTATTACATATTTTGACATATTTAATATATTAATTATGTTAACTATGTTAACTATATTAACTAAATTAACTATATTAACTATATTAGATATATTAACTATATTAAACATGTTAGACATATTTAATATATTTAACATTCTTGACATTCTGTACCCCACTTCACAATTGTAGATTTATGATTATTGAGATCAATATCTGGTCATAATACTTATCGATTATAACTTTTTAAAGGAAAAAAAAAGAACAAAAAAAAATTAATAATAAATATGGTAAAATACTAAATAAATATAATTAATAGTGTATTTGGTTATATAAAATAAATTCATATATATATTAAAAATCTAACATACAGAACTGTACAAGGATCCTGAATAATCTATGTATAGGTCAGATGAAAATTTCAAAATTTACTATGATTAATAAGCAAAATATTTTCAACTCTGCTAAGCAAACTCTTATTATTACTTAAGAAAATTTGACTCTGCTAAGAATCATTT